TTTGAAAATATCTAGAAGTATTTGATGTTAGAAGAGTTAAAATTGTAATGTTCTGGGATCTGGGATTCAAACTAGTAGTGTTTTCTTTGCGAGTAGCTAGTAGTTTTTACGTTGATGCTGCTCTGATGACGCACATTTTATTTAAAATTCAGATAGCACTTTCTTGAATAAATAGCGGCACACACTAGCACGATCGTATGTTTTTGCGGCTTAATGTTTCGAGTGCATAGAGGATGAACAAACAACTGCAAAAGTGCCATGATGGTCTTTTGATCCATCTGGAGATTGTAAATCATTTAAATTTTGACTTCCTTGCTTGCCTCGTTTTGATTTTACACAATTTTCAATTTAAAATGTATCCACTTCAAAATTCGGAAAATTTTTAAGTCCAAAGCAAAGCATGCTAGGGGAGGATCAAGGCTCAGTATGTTTTTTAATTTGATTTCAAGCATTTCCTGCTTATTGTACAGACGCTTAAACTCATATGATTTCGATTTTGCAGCTATACTCATCCCAGGATTTTAATATTAGCTCCTTTTTGAAGTTTTTATTACCATGAGTCAGCGAACGGCAAACTTCAAAAACTGAAATTGAATCCGTTCGGAATAACCCTTTGCTTTGTTGTCACATGTCAGTTCATCGAATAAACAATGGTTAAGTATTTTTTTGGCGGAGGAATCAGCCTATTTACGTGGATCTTGGAGCAGCTGTTAAAGAGTTCTTCAGCGCCCCATTTATTTCGTGTAAAAATTCTGCTTTTTTGAAGTTTAGTGTAGATGAGTTGTTTCGATGAAAAGTACATGTTTTTGTTCGAAAGCATGGAAAATCTGGGAAAATAGGCTTGAAAAACTAGAAAATTTAACGTTCTAACGAAAAAAATTGATACAGTAAATTTAGTAGGACAACACTGCATTATTTTAGGTGGTCAGTGGTAATTGTCGAGCAGCCCTCCAAGGTGTTAGGTTGAGACGGTTACAACTTAATGGACACTGCAATATTTGAGTTGTATGGGAGCAAAATGGGCTGGAAAAGCCATAGGAAAAAGCAGTAATGATTGGTGAAATGGGTCCAAAAATCTATTCTTCCGCTGCATCCAGTTGTATCTGTCCGTATTCCCTTTTTTAATCAAAAGCTTTCCTAGTCAACGATCCAGAGCTAGCTTACTGGCAGTGCTAGCCAATTTCTATTTTGGTCTAGACAAATCGTGTTATTGATTCTGAAGTCCTCTATTTCTTGGCCAGACATTATTCTTTTTTCGCCGCCACCACCAGTGCTTTTTGGTTGAAATTGTGAAGGTGCGCTGAAGAAGCCAGCCGGAGCTGTGATTGCTGTAGCCTGCAAAATTGAAGGAATCCAACGTTTCCCGCTTTTAGTGATATCCCAATGCATTTCCTTTGTACCTGATTTGAATAAGTGATTGATTTTGTTCGGATGTCAGGATTATTTTTTTTTTTATCCAGATCTTTCTTTTAGCAAATCGTTGTTGTTGAAATCCCTTCCAGTCGTCGTGCTGGAAATCATACGCATGCGCTATCCTCGTGAGACACCCCCAAATCATACGTAGTTCTGAAGTTCTGATTTGTCCGAATTCATGAGTAGTGGCATGTAGTAGCTGTTGCACATCACGCATTTTTTTCATGCGCTGTATATCTGGGCACCTGGTACAAATCTGATTAGATACAGTACATGGTGATTATGAGCAGGAGCACTGCTTCTGTGTAATACCAGTGCTGAGACAAGAGAGGTGCGACTGCTTGGGTGCTCTTAGTACTGTGTGCGCAATGCGGAATACAATTAGAGGCAGTTCTGGTGTGAGAATCAAGGGACAGAACTGCGTTCGCCAGCATACAGTATCCTAGGGGAATATGCAAGGGATGAGGAGAGATAGAGGCCGGAAATATGGGAAAGAATTGTGTATGAAACTGCAGAATAAGCAGGTCTGTAGCGACATAATTCTTAATTCCTCCAGACACTTTTTTTTTCATGTTGGTAGTGGGAGCGCGTAGGTTTTCAGGTACCATTTCGACTTGCATGTCATATATCCAAGCAGTTGCGATTTTTCATGGTAAAACACATTTTTTTACGCGTTTAAACATTTCTGATCATAAAAATGAAACTGGCTATACTTTGAGCGCCTACACAATGAAAAGAAATATTCTAGACTGAAATATAAAAATCCACATCCTGCTCCTAGCAACTTTTATTAAAATTTTTACTTTTTATTAAAAAATTTTTTTCACTTGCTATATTCTTATCAAGATTTTAATTTCTTTATTGTTATACGTTTTTCTTAATTTAAATTTATACATATGCGATGGTTATGTATATATAACCATAACCGTCGTATTAAGGAAGTCCAGTTGTGGTGCTGATTAGGAATTTGTACGATTTAATGGGCCGAAACGTTCCTTTTCAGTTATTTAAATATTCTGCCTTTTCATATACATGTTTTGTTGTACATTATTCAGTGAAATTGTTGTCATTATCATCGTTATTATCGTTATTACTATTATTATTACTTATATTGTTATTATTACTATAATTATATTGTTATTATTACTATAATTTATTCTCACTATTTCTGTCTCTTTACTAAAATTATCATATTATTATTCTATGTTTTTGTTATGTTTTTGTTTTTCATTATGATTATTACTGTTCTGTCTTTACATTTATAAAGGCTAGACTGTGCTGGCTCCAGTGACCGTATTTTTTAAGTTGATTCATAGTTGTCTAGCATTTTGGACTTGCATGATGTTTCGCAGTATTCATTATGCCATCGCACTATGTTCTCAGAAGCAAAGCCTGGACTGCCCACTTTTTTTGACGGAAATGCGTAGCGTACGCAATAAAAGCAATTTGCCAAGGAAAAACTAAGCAAACTTCCTTGAACTGAGCGATAATTAGCTCCATTGTGGATCGGAGCGACTCACAGTCCCCGATCTTAAATAATAAACTTCATCTCTCTCTACTCCCTCGTTTATCCGATTCCGCTTTTGAGGATACTGGCAGACAAATTCAAGTGAACAAATTTATTGCCTGGAAAAGTGCCTCGCTATCGTGTACAGCGCTCATCAAACTGGCTAACATTTTGTCAGAATGCGCGCAAATTGGATCATTTTTTTAACAGAGCCACCACGATCATTCATTTTATCCTTATCCTATGGAAAGTATGCAAACAAGTCACTCGTAAACCCATCGAATAATTAATTTGCATAGTGAACATGAGGATCTATATATCGGTCATCCACTTAAAGGTTTTCCTCTCATACTACAACGATGTAGTGATAAAGCCTCAGACATGATTTCTCAAGCGTTTTTCTGTGTTTCAGAAGTCACTGATACAGTATTTCAAGAGCTGGCCCAGTTTTGAGCATACTTTTCTGCAACCTTTTGTGGCCATGTTTTATTTAGCTCTTGCAATCTCCAATGCGTGCTTTTTCATATGTGTTTTTATAATATTTGCGCTCAACATTGGCACTTCGTCTTTAACCATGAAATTTGATAATAATATAGACATTTCAAATTCCTACCATTTAAGATTATCAAAATTTTTCAGGTTAAGCGGCAGTAGCAGCGCTGTATTAAACGCAGCTTCCGACAAATCCGATGCGCCGGTGACACAGCTTTCGAAAGTTGTAAATGAAAATAACAAAATCGGTTTTAATCCGGCTAAATTGCATACAGCAGCAACTGAAATCCCAGTCTCTACGACAGCGTTTAGTGGACATCAAACAAAAGCGGACGTACTATCCTACGATTATCATTCAAAAAGCCCTCGTCCAGACGAGATCAAAAAGCGGTCATTAGCCTCGCCCTCTAAGTTGCCACCTTCTAACTACGCAGAAACAGTTCAGGAGTTGCGATCGATCTTCAAAGAACTTCCATCATCTGGTTCCGGGAATATTGTTGTCAATCCACAAGTCCTATTTCGCGAACGAAAGTCGGCTGATGATGCAGATTTAATAAGCTTCGAAGATGAACGTGGGAAATCCGCGGCAACAATTTCGATAGCTTCAATTTTGCTTGAACACGCAAAAGAATCAGAAAATTTGCATAAATCATCAAAGGAGTACAGTGCGCCCACCAGCAGTTTTGATTATACTTGTAGTAAGCCGTGGTTTGGTGCGTCCGAAAGCTTGTCCCGCGAGAACGCAGTAATTAATTCGGTTGGACAAAAGCTAGCAGCTGCTTCGTTTGAAAGCGCACCCATCGTCGAATCATCGGCTACCGCGGCTGCCGACTGTCGCGCAATGCCAGCAGTTGATCGTCTTTCAGCGGAACACTTCTCGGTTCAGAATTCCGTGGGGCAGAGTGCGAACGACGGGAACGCTGCATGTGCCACCTGGGATCCGACACTTCTACTCAGCAGTTTATATGAGGTACTGCAGCTGCTCTCCTCTTTTTTCTCTGGGTTACAGTTTCTCAAACCAACTGAATTTTCTCGCTAGCATGAAATTCTTACTGATATTTGCAGCGAAATGGAAAAGATAATAGAGTTGTCGGAAATTGCCGGACACAGAGGTAAGAGCAGGAAAAGAAAGACTGTGGAGCCAAGAATAATTTCTAGCTGATAAGTTCTGCAAAAGTGCGCCCATAAAAAAATCACTTCGTTTCGGGCAATGGAGAGAAGAGGGAAAAATAAATTCTGGGTTTTTTTTTTTGGCTTCTATTTTTTGCACGACCCGTACTTGAGTGCGATGTTTTCTAGCTGTCAGTGCTAAAGTTGGCGGGTATGGTCTGTTTTGTTGTTTTTAACACTTCAGCTTTCTGTACCACTTCTTAAACTGCATAAATTGGCCGCATTTGTTTGAATTTTGCGTTTTCTGGCATACTTTTTAGGATTCGCTAGAAATCGCTTGCTTTTAACTAGGTTTCGCACGTTGCGGTTTATTTGCTCTTTGACACAAAATTTTGTGTTTCATTTTGTAACTCAGTTGGTCGAGTTACAGATCAGTTATGAGCCACGAAAAGAGTCAAAACTTAATCGTTTCACGAATATGGAAGGGCATTTGGAAGTTCCCGTGGATGACCGAAGTATCTACGCCGAACTGCAAAAGAACTGGGTGCAAAAATATTTTCGCACAAGAGACGGACGCTTGCAGTGGTTTGCCGTAAGTCTTGAGAGTTTTTCTTGGCTATATAAATTTGCTCTAGTTCACTGAAAATTCACTGCATCACTGGTACATTCTACTTCCACGAAATTGACTGCTGCCTTAGTTAACAGCTGTTCATTCAGGAAATGGGTCCTTTTTTGTTAAAATCAGAGCCTCATATCTGAGAGGTGAATGTGATCCCTGTATACCTGATTTTCTGTTTTTGATAAGAAATGCATTTGGTCTGCACATTTGTTAATAGCAGTTTTGCGAGTTCTTTTTATTTATCATGATTCTCTAAGTCATTATTTTGTAGTCGAGAATTAAAAACCTTTCATATTTTTTACAAAAGACGGTGGTCTCCGCCCTTTAACCTTTTTTCCGCTTACTGTTTTTCTGGTGGTAACTTTGTTCTGGTATGGCAAACGTACTGGCATAAAAGCTTTGTTCAGTGGGCGTGCCAAAAAGTTCACGGTCAGCGGTTTTGATGGCAACAATGTGATACTTGTGCCTCACTTAAGTATATCTTTTTTCCCCCAGAAAAGTGATGAAGATTTTAGCGATTTCTTTACGCGGGAAGTTTATCCGTCAGTTATTCTGAACAGTTCATTTGTATTCATCCATATCGCATTAGAAGTGCACACTGCTAAATTTTAAGTCGCATTTCGCGGACGATACGCCGGTTGGTGAAGTACTGCTTTCTGGTTGTGAAGTGGATGCAAACAAAGATGAGAACACACTACACGTACACGGTGGAAGGAATCATGTGAAAATGATTTTAAGGTTTGATATTAGCTTTTGTCCACGTAATATCACAGTTATCCACCAATCTGGAATAGGTAGCTCCTCGGAAGCGTTTCTTGAGATCGGGATCTTTTTGCACTAGAATTGCCCTAAGTATGCATTTTGTACACGAAGAGGGGAAAAAAAAACTTCAACACACAATGCACGATTGGGATATGTTTTCCGGCCTTTGTAAACAGTATTTCATGTATGTTCAACTTGCTTACAATCAGTTCAGTTGTGATGAAATGAGCAAATGCAAAAGCATCACTTCTAGAAAGCATCACAAAATATCTTCAGGGTTCCTCCAGGCCTCAATGTATTTGATAAATGGAGGAAGGCGATCAACAGTCATGCCGGCTCGTCGTATCTCGATGCTTTCGTCAATCCAGTGTTCCCACCGTTGCCACACATTACTGAGGTTATCGTTTCCGTGACTGTGTAGGCTGTTGATTTTGTTGTGATTTGGTGTAGCTTGTGCACTGTGCAGTACAATCACAGAGGACGGAGGCGTAAAATTTTACCGTTTGTTTTTGTTTAAATTTTAAATCTGCACCGTATTATTCGAAACAGCCTGCTCTTTGTAGAAAGTAGCAATAATCGAGCTTGGTTCATGCTCCATACGCGCTGGCGTACTCACAATGGAACCCTCACTGCCCCAGTCTTTCTTCCCAACGATAGCTCTTATCAAGGGCGATGGTAAAATTATCGTCGGTGCTGATGCATTGCTACCTGAGGTTTGTGAATTCCTACTCATCATCTTTTACATGCTACTGAAGTGTGCTGCTGCTTAACGAGAATCTCGTGTGATTAAAGTTTGCTTTCGAAAGGGACGCCTTTCAGGATCATCTCACCCTCTGCTTCTAAAGAGATTTATGTGCATTCAGAAACAAAATTTCAGAATTGCCGTAGCGGAGAACTGATAAAGCCTTTACGAGCGACAGATGCTTCATTAGAACGGTACGTATTTCATCGACCGGCTTTGAAAGCTTGCCTGCAGAAATGCGTCACCGATTTGAATATTGACCCTACAGTATACCGGGTAAGTAAGTGCCTTCACTTTGTAGGTAAAATTTTTTGCAATATATCTGCAATATGTAACACGGGTAATACGTAAAATTTTACTAAATTACTAGTTTAAGCATAATTAATAGTCCTGTTCGGTATTCATGATTTGTCATTACATCTCCATCTTGGGCTTGTTACGTTGATTTGCCAGTATGCTAGTATTTTTGCCTGCAGCTTGCTGTGATCGCTTTCGCCGCTGATGCTGAAAGAGAGCAGCAAAGTGTGCTAAACACTGGTTATAATTTACTTGTTTTTATTCTCTGCTTTCGTATTTAACGCAAGCCAACTCTCCGTCCTGCATAAATTGTGCATCCGCGTATTGAGAACAAACACTTTGTTCGTTTCCACCATCGTTGTCAGCTTGTCACCTCTGTCGTTCCGCTTACTAGCTCAAGTTTTGCGTTGAAATTGCATTTAACGGCCGTTTATACAGGCTTGATGGTGAGAGTTCATTCAAATGTTGCTCGGAAAATTCCTCAATCTCATTACTGGTATTGGCCATAACTGGTCAGTATTGTTTTCTTAAACGTTTATTTTTCAGGTTCTGCTATCAGTTCCTCAAAATATTCCTATTGCTCTTATTATCGACTTACTAAAGATTGTTTTGGAGGAACTGCGATTTCAGGTTTGCTGAAGCATCAGCACATATGAGTTAAATGTACAAATCTCAGGCCTACCACTTTCGGGAATAACCTCCACTGATTTTCAAGGGAGTGGCCTCAAATATTTAGTGTGCCAAAAATTGCTAGGGAAAATTTAGGTTGCGAAATAAAATTCAATATAAATTTCGCTTGCCGTCTGCTTTAAGAAAAAAAAAAATTCTGTTGCCGTAAAAGTCTGAAAAGAACAGGGGGAGTAGAATGTGAAACTTCAATCTCTGAAAAATTTGTGGTATCACGTATAACTGCTAAATTGATTTTCACTTTCACATTTTTACTGTAGTTCCTGAACCCCTTTTACATCATTTTCAGGTTTCAGGAGGAAAAAAGCTGTGTTTTAGGGTGCAGCGATATCACGTCAACCAAACCTTATATTATATGCATACGATGTGACAACTGGTGTTGTCGTTGATATTGGCGATTGTCTGAATATTGTACCGATCGTGGACGGTACTTTTTCGATTTTTCAATCGATATTTCACAGTTCAGCAAAATTTTTCATTGGATCGGTGCCAACTTTGAAAAATTCTTCCAAATAAGTCTAAGCTTAGATTTTTTTTTGTTGGCGCTGTTACTTGCAGTTTCGAAAACACCAGCAACCTTACCCATCCTTGTTCGTAGTTTTGGGACTGCCTGCATTCTTCCACCTCTCCTCTTCCTTCCTCCGCCGGCCACTCTTCTCGCTCCTTCAGTTTGCATCCTCTGAACCATAAGCGTGAGTTCCCACTGTTTTCTGAACTCGGTGAGGTGATGCGGTATATGTTGCACAAATGGCAGTCACATCTCTAATCCGCATTCATCATCATGGAACCATTCTCCTCTCATTCGCTGGTCTGCCTCGATGCCACCCAGAATCTGCATCTCGTACGCTGCAAGCAGAAATTACAGTTGGCCTAATTTCTGTATGATGTCCAGAAAAGCTCGTTGAAGGTGATTTGTAGCTTGGTTTTGACGACCGCATAGTTTTAGGCTATGTCGTGGACAGTGCAATAATATCGTTACCATATGGGGCCACTCAGATAGTCAACGCTTTACAAACCAAGCTTGCCGAATCGAACATTGGTGTGTACACGTTCCAGTCGCCGGCTGAAAGACTCATTCTACGTTACGTGATGGAACAGGTATGCATTCCATCACTACACTCATCCTGCATTTCAGCTTTCCACTCCGGGCTAGCTGGATTGCGTATTTCGTTTTTGTGTTCCCTCAAACAACTCCACTTCCAGGCCTGTTATGTTGCAACTGACTACGAGGAAGAAGTGACGAAGTACAAGAGTAGCGGTGGTTATATGGATGCAACCATCTCTCTTCAACAGTTTAAACCAACAAACGAGATGGTGCCCTCATTCAAGGTACGTATCAGATTTCAATATGAAAAGATCAAATTGAATCAGTACGTTTTTGCGCTATACTATCATCGAACGGTACGTGTTACAGGATATTCCAGTTGCGTCAGTTCGCACAGACGTTTTTTTGGGTGCCGCATTTTCGTTCCCAGCATTGTTAGCCTGGCCCTAACTTTACAGTTCTGAAAATAATCTCTGTACCATGAGCGAAATTAAAATATCTGAGTTCGTTCTGCTTTAGGTGGATTCGGCTCGTTTCACCGCAACAGAAGGATTGTTCAAGCCGAAAAGGTGGGGTTTGGACACAAAAGCATTGCACCAGCTGGTATTCGAAGCCGTACAGTCGTCACCTATCGATAACAGGAAAACGCTGTTTAGGTGAGTGCTTCTTCTGTCCTTCAATGTTGTGTTTTTAAATTAAGCATGCAAAATAAGCCAGAAATCAAAAAGAAATCTTAGGCTTTTACATTTAGTTCCGTTTTCGTTACGTATGTATTTTCACGTTTAGGAATATATGCCTTGCTGGTGGCATCTCATTGCTTCCTGGCTTAGCCGAGAGACTGGAAGTGGAAGTTGCTTCACTTGTTGCACCAATCATACACACACAGGTATCACTTTCTGCACACTTAGGCCAGGCATAATTTTTTAACATTTTATATTGTCTCCTTTACGTGCTCCATCCGAGTTGCTAAAATAAAGTCTAAAAAAATTTTTTTCGACCGCCACGACTGCACATGTTGGTTGCGTTTTGGAATTCCTAGAACCTCTCATACTTGTCTTTTTTCCTCTTCCCCTCCCCCTGCTCCTTCCCGCTTCCTTACCCCAGAGTTAGTGCTATTCCGGCCTCTAATGTCATCCAGGTTTAGGAGCCATAATTTCTTGAGTCATTTCGATTGTTTTCAGGTTCATCTCTCACCATGGAGGTATAATGCTGCATATTTGGGTGCCCAAGTAATCGCTTCAAGTAACCAGTTCGATGAGAAATATATAACACTTAAAAGCCTCAATGATTTCATCGCTAATTTGCAGAATTCTGTTTTCTAATTTTAGAATCAGACTTTCTGATGCTTGACCCTCCCCAAAAATTATTCTCAGTGGAGTGGGTGATTGTAAATACTGGTTTGTTGCCTGCTCACATGTTATTAAAAAAAGACTGAACATTGACAGTATCACAGATGTTTTACTTTATTCACGTCCATGATTATTACAAGCTTGTGTGTTGACTTATGAAGCCTTCATATCGAAAATTGTCATTTTACTACATACATGAACCAGTACTGTACCGCACACTGCCCTGTAATAATTGTGATGTCATCATTCTAATGGTAAATAATTCTAACGGTTATTTGATTGATCATCTCTTTACCGGTTGAGGAAAATCTGGGTTTCCCAACTTGCATTAAAAATATTGAATTCACAACCAGTCTTTGATTTGGCCTCCTAGAAAGTAATTTTTCGTTTTGACGGACGGGAAGAAATATCTCTTTATATCAGCCTTGCTCAAATTCCCAATAAGCGATTTAAAAAATGCATGAAGGTCCGGCCCTGTGTGTGTGCGTGTGCGTGTTTTTGCATGTACGTGTATGTATATGCGTATATTCGTATGGGTGTGTGCATGAGACTGCTTGACCGAGTAATACAAATTTACTGTAATGAAAACTAGAAAACCGTAATTTTGGAAACTTAGTAGTCTTCGGTTGTGTGCAAGTCTAGAAATACAAAATTAATTTAATTGCATTCATACACGAACACTTTCTTCTGTCGACGAATTATCACATTTGCAGTAAGCAAGTTTAGGATTCTACAGCTTTTGCAATTATGACTTGGTTGAGGATCCAACTTGAATCTTTGGGACCTATGCTCCTTATCACGTCATTTTTTAACCTCTGCTATGGCTTCAAACTCATATTCAGGCTAACTGTTTAACTCATATACCAAGGGAGTACAAATAGTGAATGGTAGTTGAAGTTACAAATAATTAAGCCTCTTACCTTACGGGCTAGTGGATTAAGTTGCAAATTTAGGCTAATTTTGTAATTTCAGAACAAAGTGAGCTAAAAGCTCAAAGCCAAGGGCTTATGCTGGTTGCGTAACACAGGTTGGATGGCACAAAATTCGCTTCAGACCTCATTTTTTCTTGGTGTGTGAATGCGAACTGGTTAATTTTGTACCTCAGAATGGAAGCAAGTCATGAAATCGATACATTTATACGCTTTATGTGCTAAATTGATTAAAAGTTCACGTCACAACAGCTAGTAACAAAAACGCACGGCCGCATCGGGCTCTGATGCGCCCAGCTTCCATTGTATTTGCAGCTTATCTGATCCATTTTTATCACTTAAGAACAGCAAATAACTTCTCAAACATAGATTTTCTTAGGTTACGACAGCAAGTAAAATTTACCGCATATCAGCTGACAGGTTTTTCGGAGCGCCCCGTGATGCTATCCATTTTGGGTGAATGTAGCCTGTTCCAGTAGAAGCCCTTGATCTATTAGTCGTCTTTTCACTAGTGACCATGTCTTGTCCTCATTATTGTATGGCTGGTTATTGCTTAATCTTGTGATTTCAGTCACTTTAAATGAAACACTGTCATTGGCCTGTGCATCTGCTGACTTTCCTGTTCTTTGGCTTTATTAATCGAACGCAGTAAAGGTTTTAACGATGCTCGACAACTTCATCAGTGTCGTTTACACTTGAGCGGTATACAGCACTATCATTAATATTTGGATGTGTCACACGTCAAACCCATCTAACCGACGGCTCTGTGGCTCCATACTCAAGTTCACACCGACTACAGTTTGAGGGACTGCGGTTGGAAATTTTGAGCGAGAAACAGCACAGATAGAATGGCCTGAAATCATGTTTTACATATTCCCAGGCTGTGCGGTCCGCTTTATATTTAAAGAGGGACGAGTGTTATAATTATTCGAGAATGAGGCAAGATTTCGTACGCTGGATTATGACGAAATACAAATATTTTTAACTGTTTTACTTCACTTATCCATCGTGAATCCAAGAAAGCCTCTGGCTGGAGCACTACCACGCTGATCACCGGCACGCATGACTATATTTCATCCGTAACAAATGTGTTTTGCTCTTAAGGCCTGAAAAAGTTCGTTTTTTAAATCGTTGGAGTTATGGCAGGTTCTTTTTTACCACTTGTGGTGAGGAGACGAAACATCAGGCGCTGGTAAAAAAAATGTGGTCAACGGTCAGAACTACCTAAAGCATCAGCTTTTAAGTATTGTGTGGCCCAATACTTTAATTGCTTCAGTAATTTCGCTTGTTAATCGGGTTCGGTTTGTACAGTTATATTTGACTTTGCGGAGCCATTTAGAGGAACATGCCTAAGAAGAAAAGCGGTGCACGAAAGAAAGCCGAGAGACAACGTGAAATCCAGAAGCAGATTCGGAGTAACTTTATAAAGGATATCGCACTTCATCCATCAAACGGACTAATGGCATGTTCCCAATTTTATAACTCCACTTGTTTTCTCACATAAAAATTTACAGAAAATACGTAGTTTTGGCCATTATTTATATGTGGTAAATGTGCTTTGACGGGTTAGGTTCATCTTTTTTTTTTTGAAATCATGTTTTTTGTTTTAGGTTAATTTTTTAAAACGTAACTACCTTTTATATCTTTCATTATTATTATTTTTATTACTGCAGTTTCTAATTGTTATCATTATCATTGTTGCCATTATTTTCATTATTATTATTATTTTTATTGTTATTGATGGCATTATTTTATCTTTTTCACATATAATCAACGCTAATATTACTACTACTGGTACTAAAAATGTTCAGTTTATGTTGCAGCCATCCCCAGCTCATATGGGAATTTCCCTCTTAAAATCAAGTATATCTTTGCTACCAAATTTTTTGACTAGAAATATGAGTATGAAAGCTGTTCAGTTTTGGCCTGTCCTGCTTGTAATCACTCTCCGCCCCATGTTTAAATGAACTGCTACTTTAAATCTTGCATTTCTTCCCTTTTTTCGGCCCTCCCTCCCTTCATTTCTTCGCTACCCAAAATGGCATCCTCCCACTTTTTGAGATTACATTTGCTTGAATATGCCAATTTCCTTATCGATTTAGCCATGAATTTAGCCAATAATTCTCTCTTGAACATTATTTACCACTTTTAAATTGATTTTGCCCTCTTTTTTACTGACTTTTTGTTCTTTCGAATAAATTTATGTTTTTTGCGAGACTTTTTGTTTTCTTCCACAAACCGCACTTCCTTTTAAACACATCTTGCTTTCTCTCAGCTGGCTTAACTTCGTCGCTTGCTTTAAGTAGTTTCAAGTATTTTTCGGACATAGACAATTCTACAGCATTTTTTTTTCGCTAAGTGTGTAGCCACCTTTTTCAGATTTCATCATCAACCTACACTGAAAATGTTAAATTTTCAAACCTTCAGCTTTTAAGACATGTAAATCAGTTTTCAGAAATGCGGCGCATGTATGCGAGATCAGAAAAATCGTGCCTTTTGCTATTTCTGCAACACATTGAATAATTTACCGGTTTGTGCGGGTTGTGGTAAACAAAAATGCATGATGAAGAGCGGGGACTGCGTCATCAAACATCCAGGCAGATTTACTACTGGTTTCTTTTTGTTTTTAAAGGAAAATTCTTGAAAGCTATACTAGTCTTCACATTATCACGGAGTGTTTCGTGGATCTGTGCATAAGGTGATAATCTTATTACTTCTCGTATAACCCTCCTCGACTAGTGCTTTGTTGATTCCTGGATCCCATATTCTGATATGGTGCGTTGGACTAGTCTTGCATGCTGGTCTACCAGCAAAACACTGACTAACCGTTCCCTTTCTGATCCCTGTTCCTAATCTTACCGTTAACTTATATCTCCATCTTGTCGATTTCGTCTTTCGCGTTTTGTTTTGCCCCCTCC